CCTCTCGGGGCGAGTATTTGTCGCCCAAATAGGTGTTGTATTCTTGTCGTACGAATTCTCCCAACTTATACATCCGATACTTGCCTTTTGTGGTCAGTTCTCCGATACCCTCCACCCAATACTTGGGGTCCTGATAGGGGTCGTTATGCGGGAAACCTAACCAATAAATAACAATTCTCATTAAATGTTATTAAATAACAATTTGTACACAATACAGAGTTTATTAATTTGAGTGATGTTTTAATGTCTGATTAAAAATTAAAAATAAATTTTTTTACCGGTAGGCGCACGGTCTCCATGCCTGTGCACTATTTGCAACAGTTTTAGTGTTGAGATGTCGTGATGTGGCCAGTCGTCAGATGTGTGACCGATCACGAAACATATAAATAGATTTAATAATTTAATTGCAATCATTATATTTTGTATTGTGTTCTTATAATGTTAGTTGTTAATAAAATATATTTAATGAAAACAGCTTTATAAATTTAATACGGATTATCAATATTTTATCGCTGACTTGCTTGACTTTTAGCAAATAGATAAAATATTTTGTAGTTATAATTATTAAGAATAAAAGGTTTATTATCTTAAATTAGTGGAATTAAGTGGCAATTAGTTTATCTAAATCTGTAATTTTAATCATAAAGTAGTATTTTCTTAAAATAACAATTTATTTTTCTTTTAATTTTTGTAACTTAATAATGATTAATAAGGAACTAATTTTAGTTTTGTTTATTAAGTTATCTTAACTATTTTTATAATTTATTGTATTGCTTAAGTCAATTTTGATTTTTATGATATATACCTTAATTAAAATATTGAAATAAAACTATTTATAAATTTCAAAACATCAAAAATAATTTTTTTTAAATATAAATGTATTTATTATCATAATGTTCTCCAATAAAAATAGAGTATTTAAATAATTATTAAATGTATAAATAATGTATAAATAATTAAAAATCAATAAATTCCAGGATTTATACAGCGAATATTATAATTTATTGTTATGATTTATACAGTGAGAATTAATATTTAGTGTATAAATCCTGGAATTTATTGATTTTTAATTATTTATACAAAGAATCAAATTAAGTGCAAGTTTAGTTTATATGTTTTATTTCAGGTTAATAATCAGGGTAGCAGCCTGTCATGATACTTTTTAAATATACAGTGGTATTAGAATACATTTATTAAAATGAATTTTAAAACACACATTTAAAAACTTTTCATAATTAATATGTAATTAAGTGCTGACAAATAAAAGTATTGAAATAACTCCAAATTAGTCATCGGAAATAAATTATAGCAATAAATGCCAATCACTGGACCCGATAGGTGTTCAATGAATCCTTCAATTTTAATCAATTGTTTGACGGGAATAGCATTTCTGTGTTTATTAATATACGAGTAAATTAGTGGATATGGTTTATATGAAGATTTACTAACTAATGTACTAATAAAATGTACGGTTAATAAAATAGCCATTTCAAACAATAACACAATAATCGCTGCTAATCTTGTATACAATTCTGTATTCTTGTTATGAATTACAAAAATATTTAGCAGTGTCCCAGGAGTGGCCATAAAATAACTTATTAATACACAATATTTAAAAAAGACATTTAGTTTTTGAGTTATATTTTCCATGTATTTGTGTTCACTAATAGCTGCCATAATAATTATGGTATTATTAGATGAGATGGACTGTTGAATCTTATCGTAAATTTCTAAGAATTTATATTTTAAATAAAAAATCGACGCAAACCACATGACAATCCCAATCAAACAAAGCGCTATGATTTGTGTAAGAAATATATTTAAGCAACAAGTCCAAAATATTAAGGCAAGTGCTGAAAAATCCAATCTTTTATCCGCGTATACAACCAAAGAGAATATAGATGACACTGATGTTACAAAAGTAGCAAGAACATAAAACGCTGGAGTAATTAGACGTTTGCACATGAAGGTTAAATTATTAAGATATAGTCTCTCATTTTTAAGGCATAATTCAAACCGAAGTTTTGTTTTCATTTTGACGTAATATAGAAATTCATAGCAATATAATGTGTGATTCAATTCATGATATTGTGTGACTATTGTGATCATAAATGAAGTCACTGCCAGTACTAAAGCAGTTGCGGCGATTAATTTAGGTCTACCCATAAGATAAGTAAAATCGCAAAACCATAGTTTGATATCAGGTCTGTCAGTGATGAGTCCGATGCTAAATCTAATCACATTCATGAATATGATAAGTCTGCCAATTGTGACCACAATCAATCTCTTTTTGGTAACAAATCCGGACACATATTCTTCACTATTCCTCGCTATAAATGCCATATTATTTGATGCCAGTCTCTCAACGATCCCTATTCCACAAGGGTCCTGGCTATATTTGTTCACAAATACATTGTTTATATTATTAAATATAAAAGCATTTGATTTATAATTAAAATCCATATCCAACATAAATTCTAGATCGTTATAAATGATAAGGTACTGTATCTTAAAGTGAAATTGAAACGCATTTATCAAAATATAAATATAACTTATTAGAAATATATTTGTTATATTTCATTTTATCATAAATTATATAATACTGTATCATATTTATATTTAGATTTTAGATATTAGATTTATAAAAAAAACCTAAGTTTATTACTCTAATGGATCAATATCGTGACTTTTAATTCAGATATACTTGAAAATACAACTAAGGGGCATTCAATAAGTGCGTACGCAAAAATTTGTCTAAAACTTGACCCCGCCCTCCCCTCAACACTCCCCTCGTACATAGGACTTTAACATTGTGTAAGCATGCCTTGGCTGACCCCCTCCCCCACCCAGTGCGTACGTACTTATTGAATGAGCCCTAATAGTTTTCTAATTAAGTATTTGTATTATTTTACGAGTACTTATGATATAAACTTTGAAATAAATATGCTATTGTTTGCAAGTACAGTACTGGTATTATAAATAATGTAGAATGTTATTGATAAATAAATACTGTAACCATAAAATTATTATACTTTTTATAATTATAAATTTTATATTTAAGAAACATAATAAAATTGTTAAAATGTTTTAATTAAAGTTATATTTTTGAAATACAAATAATTTATTTAAGATATGTAATTTAGTAAACTCTCATTTTAATTTTTAAACGTGTTTAAAAACTTTTCATAATTAATATGTAATTAAGTGCTGACAAATAAAAGTATTGAAATAACTCCCAATTAGTCATCGGAAATAAATCATAACAATAAATGCCAATCACTGGACCCGATAGGTGTTCAATGAATCCTTCAATTTTAATCAATTGTTTGACGGGAATAGCATTTCTGTGTTTATTAATATACGAGTAAATTAGTGGATATGGTTTATACGATGCTTTACTAACTAATGTACTAAAAAATTTATGGTTAATAAAATAGCAATTTCAAACAATAACACAATAATCGCTGCTAATCTTATATACAATTCTGTATTCTTGTTATGAATGATATATATACTTAGCTGAACACCGGGAGTAGCCATAAAATAGATAATAAATACTCCATATTTAAAATAAACATTCAATTTGTGAGTTATATTTTCCATATATTTATGTTCAATTATTGCCGCCATTATAATATTAATGTTAAATTGATTTCTGTGAGTTGATTTTTGAATCTTTTGATAAATTTCCAAAAATTTGTACTTCAAATAGAAAATGGATGCAAACCAGCACACAATCCCTAACCAACTTATAGAGACACCCTGCACAATAAATATATGCTCACAAAAAATCCAAAACACCAATACAAATAATGAAAAATCCAACCGTTTGTCTACATATGCTACCAATGATAATACAGAATACCCTGATGTTAGAAAGATAACAGTTGTATAAAAGGCTGGAGTGATTAGGTGTTTGCAAATGAATGTAAGTCTTTTATAATATTGTCTCTCATTCTTAGGACTTAATCGATAAGTAAGTCTTGCTTTCAATTTAACATAATGAAGAAATTCATAGCAAAATAACGTATGATTCAATTCATGATATTGAGTGACTGTTGTAACGATAAAAATAGTCAACGATAGGACTAAACAAGTTGCGGTTATTAATTTGCGTCCACCAGCTAGATAAGTAAAATCGCAAATCCATAGTTTAATACCAGGGTCTTCATTGACGAGTCCGATGCCAAATCTAATCACATTGAATAGTGTTATAAGTCTACCAATTGTGGCTAAAATCTTTCGCTTTCTGTTCAAATTTCCAGACATATATTCATCACTACTTTGCGAAATAAATGCCATATTATTTGCTGCAAGCCTCTCAGCCATTTTTATGCCATAAGGATCCAGGTTATATTTGTCCAGAAATACATAGTTTATATTGTTAAATATATAAGTCTTTGATCTGTCTTTACCCTCCATATCCAACATGAATGTCATCTCTTATGATAGACTCTTATTAATATTTCTACAGTCAAATTGATTTAATGTAAGATCTTATGAACGATGATTATCAAATATTATATAATTTATTAGAATTTCATTGATTATATAGGTCATTTATTTATATGCATTTATGTACAGTATTTTGAATGCTATTGCGATTTGATATTTGCAAAAATAATCTCAATATATATGTATTGCTCTTAATGTAAAAATATCGTGACTAATTTAACTTATATTTAAAAGTAAAAGTTTTTTGATTAAATATAATATTTGTATTAATTTAAACTTTCAAATATACCTGCACAGTATATTCTAATAATTTGCAATAATTTAAAGAATAGCTATGTTTATATGGTTTATTATATTTTATTATTCTTATATAAATATAATAAAATTTATTTTAGAGGATTACTTAGAATAAAAATAAAACACTTTTAAAAATATTAATTATAACTTTTAAATTAAATTTTAAATTATTGACATATTAATTTTACATAATAGATTATATTTACATAAGGTTATTATACATATTGGTAAAACAAAAATATAATTAATATTTTAAAACCGTTTCATAATAAGTACATAATTAAGTCCTGAGACATATAGGAATTGAGCGAATTCAAAGTTAGTCATCGCAAACAAATTATAGCAATAGATTCCTATCACTGGACCCGTTAATCGCTGGATAAATACCTCCAATTTACACAATTGTGGGACAGAAACAGTATTTCTTGTAATATATGAGTAAATAAGTGGATAGGGTTTGTATGAAGCTGTACTCAGAAAAGTGCTAATAAATTGTACGGTCAAGAAAATAGTTAGCATCATTACAAAAGTAACTGCCGCTCCAAATCTTGCGTAAAATTCTGTATTCTTGTTGTGAATTATATAGATGTTTAGCTGCAGACCAGGTGTAGCCATAAAATAGATTATTAATACTATAAATTTAAAGTATTCATTCAATTTTGAAGTTATATTTTCCATATATTTGTGTTCAGCAATAGCTCTCATTATAAGTTTATAGTTATGCATTTGAATGCTGCGTTCAATATTGTCGTAAATCTCCATGAATTTGTATTTTAAATAGAAAATGGATGCATACCAGACCACAATCCCTATCCAGCTCAGTGAGAAAGCTTGAATTACCGATATATGAATGCAATATGTCCAGAATATTAGTAACAATATTGAAAATTCTGATTGTTTGTCAACATATGCAACCAATGATACCAGTGAACACATTGATGTAATAAAAATAATAGCCGAATAAACTGCTGGATTAATTAGGCGTTTGCAAATAAATGTAAGTGTTTTGATGTATTGTTTCTCATTCTTAGGACTTAATCTCAAAATAAGTCTTGATTTTGATTTAACATAATATAGGAATTCATAGCAATATAACGTGTGATTCAATTCGTGGTATTGTGTGACTACTGTTGTCACTAATATAGTGAGTGTGAGGACAAAACCAGTGGTGATAATGATTTGTCGTCCGCCTAAAAGATACGAGAAGTCGCAAAACCAAAACCTAAGCCTCGGGCTGGATGTGAAGAGTCCGAAACCAAATCTAATCACATTCAGTGTTGTTATAAGTCTGCCGATTGTCACCAGAATTAGTCTCTTCTTATCCACATATCCGGACACATATTGATCACTACTTCTTGAAACAAACGCTAGATTTTTTGTTGTAGTTTTCTCGGCTATAGCTATGCCGTATGGATCCGGACTATGCTTTCCCAAAACACCTTTCCCATTTATATGTTTTGATAGAGAAACTTTGGTCTTTTCGTGGTTTTCCACTATAACATTCATTATAAATAATTTTATTAACTAAATTAAAGTTAGCAAACGTATCAATATGTCGAAAAATTTATTATCTTTAAATATTAAGTTTATACAATATAAATATCGAAAATAATTACTCCAATGTGAGTTTATCGTGACATTATGTTTAATTTTTCGTATATAATATAAAACCTTATTATTAAGTTTTTATGTCTAACATACTACTGTATTTACTGTAAGTCAATATACTGTACCTGTAAATGTATTTATTTCAAAAGTACAAACTATATTTATTTAAGATTTAAGAGCATATGACAATCATCATTGTGTGGCGTAAAATGTAATTTGTTACTAATATTATTTATAAATTATCAATAAAGGTGCTTTTATTTATACGCATTCATAGGACACCATAATCATGTTTAAAATTTTCGAAAAATATTAATAAATCAATTACACGATTATAAAAGCATAGAAAATAAGATACAATGCATTCAATGCGACTGTGAGCGCGATTGTGTGGGTCAGGGGTGCGCTTGAATCGTTGGTATTGACCGTACAGTCCTTCTCGAAGTTATCGTACAATAAATGTTTGGTTGACTCCATATACTGTGTAAGTGGACAGACGTATTGATTATTGCAGTCAGTGATGGGAATGGGATGAAGATCCTGTGAGGTGGGCGTGTAGTCAAAACGAGTCGAGTTCTGGAGATATATTCTCACGAAATAATCACTACTTTTATGCAATTCAAAGAGCAGTGTTGTGCCAAATGGAGGAGAATTTCCGTTATAGAGGTTGAGCGCTGCCATAATCGCACCGATATTCTCGCCGTGCGTTGAATACACATATAGTTTGTATGGATTTGTATTGTTTTGTGCTAGCTTAAAGTTCTCATTCAATAGCTGAATCAAACCGCCGGCCCTCATGCGCTTCAGTATAGGACTGTCCCAATCGTACCGATAGCCGAGAACCTCGTGATCGTGGAGTTGACTCAGAATTTGTTTGGCTTTATCTCCCTGTCCTATGTCTGGCCAGAAGTGGTTGTTATCAAACTCTATCTGAAACGTGTCGTAGAAATCGACAGCCGTATAGACATCCTTGATCTCACTTCCAGTGATTTTCGTTAATTCTTCGTACAATTGCTTGTATTTGGCCTCAAACTCATGGATCACTGACTGATTGTATACACGGTTGAGGTCGTCTTCAGCCGCTTTACATTTGGTGTACTAAATGAATGGGTTTTCAAACATTTAGTAATTCTCTTAGAGTTTTCATTTCTATTCATTACCCCTTCGAGTACAGTGTCCTGTGATTTGGGAATGAATGTCTCAATGGGGATGGGCTGCCACTCCACACCCAATGCCGACTTATTGTCTCTGTTCCACGTCCAGTTCCCTTTCGGTGGGTAAGCGCCGGCCATCAAACTCATGGCGCTTTCTATGCAACGGTGCACCGAAGAGCTCCTAACGTATACCTCGTGGGGCGAGTAGCTCTCTCCCAAATAGCTGCTGTATTCCCGTCTATAAAACTGTCCCAATGTATACATCCGATACTTGCCCTGTGCTGTCAACTCACCAAACCCTGCCGGCCAGTACTTGATGTCCTTAAAGGGATCCTTTTTGGTCCAAACCTGTATGAATGTATATGAATAGTAATTATATAATTGACAATTATTTGATCCATTTGATTTATAAATTTGTATGGATTTCCGAACCGCCGGTGCTCTATCCCCATGCCGATGCACTATTTGCAACAGTTTAAGAGTCGAGATGTCGTGTTGAGCCCCATTGCTTACCACCACTAATGTGGTCAATAAATATACAAATTGCATAATATTTCTCATAATTACTTGTGTTCGTATAAGTTTGTTTAAACAATAATCAATTCAATGTTAGAGCATATATTTATATGTTATGAATGCATTGCTTAACCCTTCATATGAGACCAATCTTTGCTCCGAGTTTTGTTCATTCAATGCGATTGTGTGTCGATTGAGACCCACATTACTATTGTTTTGCCGATAAGAAGTCGCTAATGAGTGCTGTTGTGGCTTATAATGAGTGATAAATTGAAGTGTAAAGTACTGACAGTCCTCTCACCTGGTGTGGCTCTCCTGTAAATATCACCTACAGATATATCACCCTGGTACTGTATATTGAAAATTGAATACCCTTTTAATTAAACAAAAAGTGACTATTTTTAACTTCTAATAGAATATTGCAGCTATCATTTCCTATTACAGATTATAGTTACCTCTCACTTAAAGTCGTTATATTTTGAGTATTATTTATTTAATAAGCTTAACATTAATTAAAAAGTGGATCGGGAGGTCTGATAAAAGACCAATGGATTGGTGGCATAAAAACCTTTGATTTTAATCTGATTATTATTCACAGTATGAGTTAAAAACAAATTGACAAAAAATATAATTAACATTTGATCTATGAAAAGTATATAAAGAATGAATTTTAAGCAAAATAATCAACAACAATTTCTACCAGTTACTAAACTTTCTATTAAAAATAGAAATACAGTACATTATTACTATAACACTTAAAATGAAACTAATTTTCTTAACAGTTTATACATTGATTCAATGCTTGGGTTGGAGTGAGGCGTCAAACCAATGGCCAAATCACGACATCTCAACCCTAAAGCTATTACAAGTTATTCATAAACACGGGGAGAGAGCACCGGTCAGGTCTGAATCTTTGTTCATTATATAATGGTTTATATAATTGATAATTGTTTGATTTATTTGGTCAGTTGGACGCCCAAAGACCCCTTCAATGACGCTAAGTATTGGCCGGAAGGTGTGGCAGAGTTGACGGCGAAGGGCAAGAATACTATGTATAAATTGGGACAATTCCTGCGTCAGGAATATAAGGCTTATTTAGGGGAACAGTACTCTCCCCGTGAGGTCTACGCCAGGAGTGCGGCCTCGAGTCGCTGTTTCGAGAGCTGTTCGGCGCTATTAGCCGGCGCCTACCCTCCCAACCAAAAGGACTGGCAGTGGAGCGACACTAATGTCACTTTGGGTCACATTTGGCAACCGATTACTATCGAGACATTCCTGCCCGAGAAGTCAGACTTAGTTTGCAATGAGGTTTGGGATTATTTTTATAATTAAATTAAAATTACCGGACAACTTTTATCATATCCATTATTATCAGAGGGTTTTAATGAATAACATAACAAAATATTTATTATTAAAATGTTATTCGTTAGTAACTTCTGGTAAGAATAGAAAGTCACAGCAATTATTAAATTATACCTAAATATAAAACTTAAAAATATAATTATTTTAAATACACTGATTTCTGCGATTATATATGAGAACTGTATATAATTCACTAATAAGTTCACTAATAATCGTAGAAAATATTGTATTAATATAAAATCTGTAATTATTAACTATTATATAGTTCTGCAACAATTATTTTATATTTAAATGCTATAGACTAAAAAATGTAAACTAAACCTATATTGCCTGACCACCCATTGTAGGCCAAACATTGCGATATCGTGAGCGCCGAGACCACCAAAATCTACAATCGGACAGAAGTGCTCGACTTTGAGGCCAAAAACAAGGAACTGTATGACACGCTGACCAAAGCGGTGGGCGCCGACATTAAAGGCATTTGGGAGGCCTTTGATCTGTACGACACCCTAAGTGTGGAATTGGATAACAACTTGTATTGGGATAAGACGTGGAGTAAGGATGA